TTCCTGTTGTCAATAAGTGTAGAGAAATAATTTAATTCAACTTTTCATTAATTTTGACAGATGCTTCTAAAGACGATGAAAATACTTTGCACTATTTAGTACTGTTTGTTCAAAATTCTCAAATCCCTTCAGAAACACGGCTTCATAAACTCCAAACATCAGTGCGGGACCGAAGTATTATTGTATCCATGTCACAGATGGACAAACTGAGGCATAGAGCTAGGGTGTGATCCAACTTCCATGAAAGTCAGCGGGAATCTTTTAATTGATTTCAATGGCAGCTGGTTTGGGCCCAGATCCACACAGGTATTTAGACCCCTAATGTCCACTGAAATCAGTGGGCATTCGGAGCCTAAATACCTTTTGTTGCATCTGGGCCTCGGTCTCTCAGTTACTTAATTAAAAATTGCAGCAAGTCAGAGGCAACAGAACCCAGGAGTCCTGACTCCCAGTTCGATAGTCTGATTACTGTGCGTTAGCCTCATCAGTCTCCAGCATTTCTGTTGAACACACTAGCTGGGAAATAATTGCACACCTCGCTAGTTCGGAAGCATCAATTTTCCTTCCATGCACAAAGTGAGGGGCTACCGCTGAAGACAAATGTTAGAAGAGAAAGTGCAGTACAACGAGGCTTGGTAGAATTTGATTTATATTTTTTTATCATTTCAGTGAATAATTTCTCTGTTTATTGTAAAGCATTTTTAAATTCTTTCTCATTTCAGTTTTCACAGTCGCGGTTTTCAGCTATTTTTTCCTCTTTTTATCAATTTTAATTTTCACACTTTTGGGACATTAAAGGGGGGCAGACACAATCATTATTTAATGACTGCAGACGTTGAGAGTCAAAAACGTGGAAGCTTTCTAACCGGTACAGCACAAATTGTCAATATCACATGTCAAAATATGCAAAGTAAATATCCTTCAACCAAACGTCAATGAGCAGCATTTTTCTTACTTTGCCTATCTGTAAATTTCGATTATTGGTGATGGAAAAAAATTTTAGTTGGTTTGTGTGTGTGCAGTGAAATCAACATGGACTGATAAAAAGCTAATTCTGCCAGCCTAGGTACAAGTAATGGAAATTGGGTATATATACCCATTCTCTCTTTAACTTGGCCCAATGGGATATAGATCTCTGCTTTCTGCATGTCATGCCAGTGCTGGAGACACCTACTCCCTCTATACTGGGACTTCAGTTTCCTATTGCTACCAATCTGCCGTCTTTCATCAGCACTAAATTAAAGATAAGAAATCAATTGTTAAATTGTGTGTCATTGTATGCCCTAAATTACCAGCATATTGAATCATGCTCTGTCATCCCTATACTCAAAGGGGAGAAAATTATCTAAGATACTTTTTTTTAAGGAATCCTGAGTTGTTCTTTAATCATCCGAAAGTGTATGCATTACAAAGAATAAATTACTTGAATGACTGAAAGACTGTTGATGGCCTAGCTTTGATGTTAATGGAAGCACATCATCTCTGTGATCTTGGAACATTTGTTGTGTCTTTAATAATGGAACGCTATCACAGATGAGAGGAACGTGTTGTATTCCATTCTGTTTTCATTGCTGGAGAGTGCCTTTCGACCAGACACGGCATACAGTACTGAGAATCTAGCGGAGAGTATCAGTCGGCAGTGCAGTAATGGCTAAAGAGGGGAACGCGGCCTCCTGCAACTCTGAAATTAAAACAGAGTGGGGCCCGTCTGTGTGAGTCTGTCCGCATTTGTTTTCCTTTCAAATGGGTTCTTGGGGCATGATCCTGAAAGGTTCTGAGCAGTCTGGCCCAGCTGGTCCAACCCAGCAAAGTATTTAAGCAAGTGCTTAATTCTAAGCAGGAACACAGTCCCACGGAAGTTAATGGGACTACTCAGGTACTTCAAATTAAGCACATGTTTAAGCACTTTGTTGGACTGGCGCAGAGAGCTCAGCACTTTGCAGGATTGAATCCTCACATACCATATATTGCTGCAAGCCAGTTTTGGATAGACTAGGAGATTCTGAAGGGTTTTCATCCCTCCTTTCAAGGGAATGCTGAAAACCAGAGCTATGTCTACACTCCATCTTAAGGCGTCACAAGTGATGTCACTAAGCCCTGGTCTACACTGGGGGGGTGGGATCGACCTAAGATACGCAACTTCAGCTACGGGAATAGCGTAGCTGAAGTCGACATATTTAGCTCGACTTACCGCGGCGTCTTCACGGCGCTGAGTCGACTGCTGCCACTCCCCCGTCGACTCCACTTGCGCCTCTCACGGCGGTGGAGGACCGGAGTCAACGGGAGAGCGCTTGGGGATCGATTTATTGCGTCTAGACTAGACGCGATAAATCGACCCCTGATAGATCGATTGTTACCCGCCAGTCCTGCGGGTAGTGTAGACGTGCCCTTAGAGGTGAGAATAAGTCACTCCCCTGAGTGATGTAAATTATACCGACCTAAGCGCTGGTGTGGACAGCGTGAGGTCAGGGGACACCTTCTCCCGCCGATGTAGTTACCGCCGCTCGCGGGGGCTGGAGTAATTAAGTTGACGAGAGAGCTCTCTCCCGTCAGCTTAGGGCATCTGCACTAGCATCACTACAGCAGTGCAGACGCATCGGTGAAAGCTCTGTAGTATAGCTATAGCCTAGGTCAATTACCATGGCAGTCCCGCTCATCAGAGGATAGGTTGGGCAGTTTTGAGCATGGACAGCAGTTGGCTTCATCAGGTGTTGCTTGTACCAACAGGTGATTAGAAACAAAAGAACATAGAAAGTGCTACACCAGAGCTGACCAGTTGTCCACCTAGTCAGGTGTCCTGTCTCTGGCAGTGGTCAGTTCCAGCTGCTTCGGAGGAAGCTGTAAGAACCCAGCAGTAAGCAGTTCTGTGATCATCTGCCTCCAAGCAAAGTGTTTTCCTGACCCCCATTAGCCTATCGTTTGGCTTCTGCCCTGACGCATGAGGATTTGTGGTCCAGATCCTCAAAGGTATCGAGGCACTGAAATACCTTTGAAGATCCGGGCCCAGAGCCCTTCCAGAACTGTGGAGGAAGTTGTGTTGTGTTGTTCTTTTCCAACCCTTGCTACTGAAGCTCTGGATAGTCTCACCATTAGAGTGGGTCAGATTGTTTCAAGTTTTGATAAATTTCAAAATTAAACAAAATAGGATGAACATTGAGATGAATATTCAGAATTGAGTTTTCAAAATAAATTCCAAAAAGAAAGGGGGTGGAGGGAAGAAATTTTTTGAGGGGTTACTCCTCCCCCCTATTTTTAACTACCCCTACTCCATCTGTATGGATGTCCTCTGAACCATTTATGATGGCTGCAGGATGACAGACTTCAACTGTAGATTAGGAGTGTGAGGGATATGAAATTTAGTTTCTTCCAAAAACTGGACCCGATCTTTCCTCATTGATATCAAACTCCCGCTGACTTAACTGGGAGTGGGGCTGGTTGAAAGGAACCCTAATATCCAGCCACCAGTTTCTAGAAAACCTGGGTAAACTGATACCAGCAGACAGATGTAAGCAACTCCCCAAAGCATTTTTAGTATAAATACTATTTCTCTGGATTGATATGAATGCTAGAACAAGGCACCTGTCTATATGCTCTAGTTGCCCTGAAGGTTACAACCAAATTAATGCTCACATGTATTTATGGGGCAGTGTTATAACTCAGTATAACTTCCCACCAGCGGCTGGTGTAAGGGAGCTATTTGGAGTTACTGTGTCTAAACACAGCACCTGAGAAATTCAGGTCCCCCTTTCTCACTGCTAAATTCCCCACCCTTTATAATCTCTTTCCCCTGCCCCATTTTCAAAGGCCTGGGTGACAAGGCGAGCGGCTCACCGTGCCCTAAAGGACTATTTCAAACCAAACATGGGAAGTGGCTTCCAAAGTCATGGGAATCCCCACAGAGAACACCTGGACAGCAGCCCTTTTATCTGGACCATGTCCCTTTGAAAAGAATCCAAAGCGGGATGGGTTGTATCTACTCCGCCGCTGCAGGCAGGTGTCAGGAGCTGCGCACTAGAAGCCAATCGCTGAGCATAACAACAGCAGCTTTATCGAACCTACTAACTTCTTGACCGGTGGTTCTCAACCTGTTTATCATTGTGGGCCGCAGGTTGAGAACCACAGCGCCCCCCTCCTAAACCTCCCCAGAGTCCCCTATGCCCAGCGCCCCTGCCCCAGAGCAGGGCCAGGAGCAGAGCCCTGGACACTGGGCCGGGCAGCTGGGACCCGGAACCACCGTGTGGGACTGGGCAGATGGACCGCGGAACCTGCAGCGGGGCGAGACCCTGGACCCCGAACCCCGCTGTGTGGGGCTGGGCAACAGGACTCCCCCTCTCCCCCCGCGGGGCCGGGCAGCTGGACCGCAGGATCCCCCTCCCCTCCCGCACAGAGCCAGGCAACCAGCAGCTGAACCTGACCCCAGGAGCGGAGCCCTACCTAAAACATGGGGGTGCTGCAGCACCCCGGCAAAACTCCAGTTCCCAGCTCCCCCCACTCCCTCACTGCCCAGAGCCCCCCCGACAAACCTACCCACAGACCCACTCTCCCACCCCCTGCGTCATTCACCAGCCCCCTGCTGGCAGGGGCGCTCATGCCGGCTGAAAGATGCTGTCTCCCCCTCAGCCACCCCTGCCCCCTGCCAAACCAGAGCTGCAAATTTTGAATTTTTTTAGCACATAGCTGGGCCACAGTTGAGTGCTAATTGGGCTACAGGTTGAGAACCGCTGTCCTTGACCATGCTGCTTATTCTTATCTGCCAGTAGAGGGCGCTCTCTTTATTAACTACCTGCATACAGCATGTTCCCCTAATGCCAGGTTGGGCCAAAAGCACGGATTTGTGCCCTGAACTTAATTCTAGCTGGGAGAAGGGCCTCTCCGGGCAGTGTATATCCAGGAGGCAGCTGGCACACTACAGTTCTGAGGGTGCCAGGGGACTATGTCGGTGCAAGCTGCTGAATGCTGCAGGCTCAGTGACGTCTCTTGTTTTCGCTTTTCTCCCGCAGATGGTTTCTGTCTGCCCGAGTGGGACGGCATTGGCTGCTGGCCCGAAGGCGTGCCGGGCAAAGTGGTGGCCATGCCGTGTCCTGAGTACATCTATGACTTCAACCACAAAGGTAATAAAGCTCCTTCCCAAATGCCATGGGAACCTTTTAGCCTGCAGCGGGAAGGGATGTAGCTGAGGACTAGAGAGCCGGGCGTTTGCCTAGGGAGCCTTTCCCTTCTTGAACAGTGTCCCGGGTTTACCCCCTGGCCGTTAAACAGTATCCTGGGAGTCACCCTTTAGTGCCCCAGCCCCCCAGGGGGTCCCATTTTGCCATAAGGGTAGGCCAGATGGCCTCAACACCTCCTAGACTAGGCCTTCGGGATCCAGCAATCCTGGTGTCTCAGCATCAGAGCAGACTCCCAGTCAGGGACTTTCTACCCCTTTCAGGGATCAATGCACGTCAGTATTTGCAGATTTTCACCTCCCCCTGGACTACAGCATCTGGAAGCACTTAGGTGAGCACCGAGAAGCACAGGTGAAGGCGGAGTTCATATTGGCTGAAGCCAGAGCTCCGCCAAGCCAAACCGCTGCAGAATCCATCTCGGCTCTGTGTCCCTTTGTCTCTGAGTCCTGCGTGAGAGCCCCTGTGTTGAGAGAACCTGTTCTTATCACAGGCACCTGACGCCTTCAAATCCTTGTTCTCCAGCTCGGGGCTTTTTGTTCTGCTTCCGTGCAGGGAAGTGGGGAGAAGCAACTGGCTCTAGGAGTTCATCTTCAGTTATTAAGGTTCCTCTTGACATGGTAGGGCCTGTGTTGATTCCAGCCCAGTCAGCCTTAGTGGCTCAGACACTTTGCCCTGATCGCCGATGTTGCAAGGACAGAATTAATTCTCACCCCATCCCCAAAGGTAGTGATGCAACGCGCATGGGTGCGGGATCCTACAGATAGAGCGTAAAAGTATTACAGAAAATTCCCACTGTCGTCACCGATGGCGGCTCCACTCCGGCTCCTGAGGGCAGTGACCCTGTGACATTGGTGTGGCTGCACCGGTCTCATTCCGCATTACAAAGCCACCGCACTGGTGGAGCCGAGACCGCAATTTGGCTATACTGTCTCTAATTATTTTTTAAAACAAAAAATCCTTGTGCCTGTTTTTCAGCTTCTCTGTACTTGAGCTGGGCGCAGGACTGGAGTTGGTGGGTAAAACCATTTTTGTGCTCCCCCCATGCTGGGCTATGCAGGAGTCTGCTTGGCCCCTGGTGTGAATAAGAGCAGCCTCGAGGCTGCTCTAACTTATGCATGCTTCCCAGGGCTCCCAGGAAGCAGAGACTAGCCATTGTGTAGTAGACTACATCCACAACCCTCCCACAGGCCCACTGTGGCCAAGACTGGGAGCTGGGCCAGTGTAGAATCCTTATGCCATAACTGCAACTGCCAGGGAGGTTTTTCTGCACATCCACTTAAAGGCCCCCTTATGATACGGGGAAGGGGAAGAAGGACGGTCTAGTGGATGGAGCACTGGGTTTTATTCCTGGATTTTCCACAGGAACTCTGGCTGACCTTGGGTAAATCACTTACTCTGCGCTGTATCTGAGTTCCCTCTTGGTAACGGGTGTGACAAAGAAAAAAAAATCATCTATTCCTAATTGGAAGGCGCTAAGATCGTACAGTGATAAGGGCTAGAGATGTAGAAAGATCCACTTGAACGAGCCCATTGCTTTTCAATGACTTTTTTTTAACAATCATGCAAGTGTTTCCGTGCTATTGCATTTTGAAAACCATTTTTCTGTCTTTCTTTTTTTAAACCCCGTATTTTGACCTACACTGTTTGATGGGTGCCTCTTTAAATTTGAGAGTTTCTGTGTAGAACAAATGGCTGGGTTTTGAAGTTCAGTTGCGGGGGGAGATCCTCTGGGCTAAGCTGATCTGAAACTACCCCCTGTTCCCCCACGGCTCCATGACAAGCCGCAGAGAGAGCAGATAAGGGCGGGCTGATTATGGGTAGCTGAGTTATAAGGACAGGTGTGAATCTGTGGTTGAAGCATCGGGAAAGATACTTCTTCTGTTCTGCCAGGACTGCAATCCGCTAAGCATCATGTTGTCTGTTTTCTCGTTCCTTTCGTTAGGCCATGCCTATCGGCGGTGTGACGTGAATGGGAGCTGGGAGCTGGTGCCAGGCAACAACCGCACCTGGGCGAATTACAGCGAATGCGCCAAGTTCCTCACCAACGAAACCAGGGAGACGGTATGCCATGCTTGTATGCAAACTGGGAACGGGGGGATCTGATCAGAACTAGCCAATAGAGCCTTCTGTTCTTAAACAAGCAGTGCCCTGCAGGTTGCTTCCGGATGCTGGAAAGATTCCCAATGTTTGCAGGTCCCAATCAAATCTTTCCCATTTGTTTCAGTGGGAAATTGCTTCACCTCAAGGGGGCGGAGGTGGGGTGTTCTTCAAGACAGTCAGATATTTGTCATGTGCTCCTCAAAGTGGCCTGATCCATTTTCACAGAGATCCAGGGTGGGGGAATCTGGAGGGCACTATGTGGAGTTTCTTAAGAAGCTAAGAGCTGACAACCACAATTTTTTTGGGGGGAGGGGGGGGGCTCGTTCCGTGCTAGTGGAGACCATCACCACCTATGGGCAGGGACCCCCCTATAGGGGTCAGTCCTGGATACTGTTCAATGTTTTCATGAATGACTTGGATAATAGAGTGGAGAGTACGCTTATAAAATTTGCAGGTGACACCAGGCTGGGAGAGGTTGCAGGCTCTTGGGAGGACGGGATTGGAAGTCAAAATGACCTGGACAAATTGGTGAATTGCTCTGAAATCAACAATAAATTCAATAAAGACAAGTGCAAAGTACCACCCTTAGGAAGGAAAAGTCAAATGGACCACACAAAATGGGGAGTCACCGGCTAGACAGAGGCACAGCTGGAAAGAATCTGGAGTCTATAGTGGATCACAAATGGAATATGAGCCAACAATGTGATGCAGTTGTGAAAAAGGCTGATCTCATTCTGGGGTGTATTAACAGGAGTGTCGTATGTAAGACACGGGAGGTGATTGTCCTGCTCTGCTCAGGACTGGTGCAGCCCCAGCTGGAGAACTGTGTCCAATTCCGGGCACCACACTTTAGGAAAGATGTGAACAAACAGGAGAGAGTCCAGAGGAGAGCAACACAAATGAACTATGAGGAAAGGTTAAAAAAGCTTGGCATGTTTAGTGAGAAAAGAAGACTGAAGCGGGGCCTGATTACAGATTTAAATTCTATTAAGGGCTGTTATAAAGAGGCCGGTGCTCAGTTGTTTTTCATATTCACTGAAGGTAGGACAAGAAACAATTGGCTCAATCTGCCGGAAGGGAGATTTAGGTTCAATATTAGGAAAAACTTTCGAACTCTCAGGGTAGTTAAGCTCTGGACCAGGCTTCCCAGGGAGGTTGTGGAATCCCCGTCATTGGAGGTTTTTAAGAACAGGTTGGACACCTGTCAGGGAGGGTCTAGGTTTACTTGATCCTGCCTCAGCACAGGGGGCTGGACTTGATGACCTCTTGAGGTCCCTTCCTGCGCTACATTTCTGTGAGTCTATGCTTCCATGTTATATGCCTCCTTGTGAGTTAGGGACTGTATTCTAGCTCTGTGAGAGGAGGGTTACCAGCTTTCCCCAGAAACTAAAATCAGTGGGGGGTAATTACTGCAGGTCCCTGGACTGGTAAACAACTCCAGTGAAGTACTCCACCCTGGGGCGAATTGCATAGCGTGGTTCAGACAGGGTTCAAGGGGCCTGAAGACAGGCAGTTGATGCAATCGAGAAGGGGAGGCAGCGGAGGGATGCCAAGAGAGGGCTGACATGGTCAAAGCCACGGGCTAAGAGAATGATCTTTGTAGCAGCATTCTGATTGGCTCTGAGCAGGGTGTTTGTCATGACCAGAGAGAAGGATGTTGCAGCAATCACCTTCGGAGCTTTTGAGCCGCAGAGCTCTGCGGGTCTGGGAAAGGAGCTCCCAGCGTCACAGCAAAATGCAAGGTGGCATTAGCAGTTCGCATGTATTGTAAGGGACCATTCGCGGTAGAGTGGCCCGGTTACACCTCTGCGGTCCTAGGCCAAAAAGAGGTGGGTAGTGGGTTACAGATCCTCGTAATAAGCCAGAAATCCAGTGTCTCGGTTCGGCCAGGATTTTTAGGGTCTAGCAAAGTAATGAATTTAAGCTCCCAAGCTGGTCTTTGGAAAGTGTTGTGCAGGTTTCCTTTGAGGACCGGGACTGACAGTGGAGTGATCGCTTTGTGCAAGCGAAATGTTAGAGATGTTAGGCAGAAGAAATCTGCAAGATGTATGTAGCCTCCTCCCTTTCCTCTCCCAGGTGCTGGCTTCTCCCCTCCCCTATGCATTCAAAACTAGGCAGGAGGATGGACTGTATTTTAGGGAACAATCCTGCGCTGGCAGGGAAATAGACTGCACGACCTCACCAGAATAAAGTGAGAACTGGATCATCTAATTAAGGCACGTATGGTGGGCCCACCCCCGGTTACCATAGTATTTGAACACCTCACAATCTTTAATGTACCTCATGCTACTCCTATAAGGTAGGCAGGTGCTGTTCTCCTTGTTTTAGAGAGGGGAAACTGAGGCACAAAGAAATCAGTCCAAAATCACACAGTAAGTTAGTAGCAGGGCAGGGAATTGCACCTGCGTCTGCTAGCTCCTAGGTGACCATGCTAACCACTGGGCCAGCTTTCCCCTCTATTAACACTCTCTTGGGAAGAGGCCTAGGGTCTAGATATTATGCCCTCATTCCTCTCACTAGTACAGCCACTTCCCTTTCCTCCCCACAGAGTCAGGGCTTTGAGTACACAGCTTAGAACTGGCAGACTGTGAGCGGATATGGGGAAGTGGGTCATCTCACCCTTTACCATCCATATGCAGGAAGTTTCTACAGCTTCCGGGCAGTGGCCTCTGCCATGTGGTGCTTCCCTGGGGTGAAACACAGCTGTGTGTTTTGTACATTGTCTGTTATTGCACTGGTAGAGTTTAATTCCAAAGTATCAGAGAATCGTGGGAAAGGCCTCGGACAAGCTTTAGCACCCAAATGGCCCAGTCTATGTATACAGCCCATATTTTTTTTCCTATTGATGTCACGTCCTGAGCATATGGAGGTGGAGTTGACGTGGGTGTAGTGTGGTTCTGTCTAACGAGGAGCAAAGCAGGTCACTCTGCACGGATCCGAAGAAATAGATTCATAGATTCATAGATTCTAGGACTGGAAGGGACCTCGAGAGGTCATCGAGTCCAGTCCCCTGCCCACATGGCAGGACCAAATACTGTCTAGACCATCCCTGATAGACATTTATCTAATGAAAGGGACAGTTCAGGATCGCCTGGCTAGCTGGGTCTGTCGTTTCAAAGTCTGCCTCTTGCAGAGAAACAAGGAGGGTGAGGTAATAACTTTTATTGGCCCAGCTTCTGTTGGTGGAAAGAGACCAGCTTGCAAACTACACAGAGCGCTTCTTCAGGGCAGAGTCTCACGCAAGGTGGAACGGATTGTTTAGCATAAGTAGTTAACGTGTTCAAACCCCTCTGCAGTCAGAGGACAAAAAGGAGGGGGGGGAGGGGCTAGTGGGTTACAGACTGTTCTAATAAGCCGTAAATCCAGTGTCTTTTTTAAGACCATGATTTTTAGTGTCTAGCAAAGGCTTGAATTTAAGCTCCCAGGCTCATCTTTCGAAGGTGCTGTGCGGGTTTCCTTTGAGGATGAGGACGGAGAGTGTTCAGATGTGGAGGGATTGTTCTGTGAAAAGTGTTTGCCCCCGGGTGAGATGGAGCTTTTGCCTTTGATCGTTTTTCTGTGTGAGTTCATTCGAGAGCGTAATGATGGTCTGGTTTCACCCACCCAGTTGTTATTGGGGCATTTAGCCCACTGGCTGAGGTACAGCACATGTTGTGATAGGCATGTGTAGGGATTTTTAAAGGCCTGTTTAGGGGGTATCGATCATGGTAGCAGTGGAAGAATGGCTGCAGATTTTGCGTCTGTTGTTCTGGCAGGATCTGGTGCTGCTTTGAGTTGCTGAGTTCTGGTCTGTGGGGAGCTTGCTTCTGAGGGTGAGGTTGGGAGACTGTTTGAAGGCCAGAAGAGGGGGATTGGGAAAGATCTCTTTCAGGATGTGGTCCCCGTTGAGTATGGGTTGTAACTGTTTAATGATACCCTGTATGGGTTCCAGTGTGGGGTGGTAGAGACGGTCTCTCAAGCTTACACAGAGCTGTTCTTCAGATCACTTCTCTGGGTAGCTCGAAAGCTGGTCTCTTTCCCTGACAGAAGTTGGGCCAATAAAAGCCATTACCTCACCCACCTGGTCTCTCTCGTATCCTGGGACCAGCATGCCTACAACAACACTGCAAACAAAAATTTATATTAGTATTCTTTTTCTCTGCTGGCGGAGGGTGGCGATTATAAGACTGTTGTGACAGGATCTCCAGGGTGCAACTTGGGGCTGTGGGACCTCTGTGCCCCTGAACTCTCTCCAGTCTGGGCTGTCTCTCACAATGCCTTGCTAGTGACCAGCAGCAAACCCCTCCAGGTGCTGTTATCACTCAGCACAACCACATATGGAGCCCCACACCCAGCTCGATTGCATGAATGCTCCCAGAGCCACTCATGAATCGCACAGGGAAAGGCACCGGAGCCAAATCCCCCCAGCTCCCAGCCTTGTACCACAGGAATATACCGTCTTGCCCTGCTCAAAGCTGGGCAATGCAAATGTATTAATTGGTTCACCACTTCATCGGTGGAAAGTGGACATACACCAGCCTTTGCAGACCTGAGCAGATTACCAAACACTCCAGGCAAAGTCACTGGTAAAGATAAACAGTTAAATGTATTGAGTACAAAAGATAGATTTTAAGTGATTATAAGTCATAGGCAAAAAGTCAGAGTTCGTTACCCAAAGAAAAGAAAATATAAACACGCAGTCTAAACTCTCAACCCTATTAGACTGGGCAATTTCTAGATTAAGCAGTTTTTCTTATTCCACTGGATAACGGAGTTCATAGGACACAATTTCACCCTTGAAATCTGGGCCAGTCTCCTCTGCTTAAGTCTTCTCAGTGTCCTTGTTGCTTGCGGCATGGTTGGGGGCAGGAGAAAGACGACGCATGGGGCCCCTGTGTTCTGTTTTATACCCTCAATCCCATGTGCTTGGGGAATACACATCCAGGCATGTCTGGGGGGCATTACTGAGTCTCCAGGCAAGC